TATTGATGGATTAGAATTTTTCATGGTTTTCATGTTTTCTTACCTGTGTGCACCCTGCAACATCTGCTGAACTTTATATCCATCATAGGCCTGACCTTCAGTCGTCCCTGTGGGTTGGGTAATGCAGTTCCTTCCTACTTGTGCATTAAAGTACATCTGGAGGCTTTTCTCTACAGAGTTCCCACTGTGTGACTGTGAACATAATGACAATACTTGTCTTGACAGTTTTCAGGTAGTTTTACTGAATGTTTCTTTTTTTCCCTCCTCCCAGATTTGTCTCGGAACAGACTGTCGGAGCTCCCAGCAGAAACTTGTCACTTCGTGTCCCTCGAGAGTCTTAATTTGTACCAGAACTGCATTCGTTATATCCCAGAGGCTGTTTTGAACTTACAGTCTTTAACATTTCTAAATATCAGGTAACAGTTGTCTTACAAGTTTTGCTTTAGCGTGGGTAGTGTGGGTTTATAAACTGTGGTGCATCCATAAGTGATGATAACTCAGTGTGTGATCATCCCATTGTTGTGTTGGATGTCATTGAATCAAAGCAACCTGAACCAGTCTTACCCCCCCTAGGTGGATCAGGGAACATGAGGATTAAGCAGCAGCGTGTAGAAGTGGAATATGAAGAAGAAAGCTAATTCCAGCCTAAAGAAATAAATAAAGTGCAGTGGTTTTCCTGTGAAATGCAGGTGTGCAGACTGAAAAGAGATGGTGGAGGTTTTGCACAGTCTTTGCAATTGAGCCCTGAGCAGCTGAATGAGGCTTATGCAATTTCCCTTTATTTTCAGTTTGCTGGTGGCTTTTAAAGATCTTTCTCAAGCATTAACATTTCTCTGCCAGCACTAAAGTCTACTTGCTGCAGCTTGGCCTGTTGATGAGATTCAGCTCTGTACAGCATCTTCCATTTGTAGGTCTTTTAAGAGGTGGTGTCAGAAATTGGCAGTGATAGTGATAAAAAGAGTTCTCAGGCTGCTTCCATTGGCAGAAGTGTATTTCTTAGCAGCAATTTTGCTAAATGTCAGCATCTGATCAAAGCCTTATTTAAGGTTCTAATGACTTTCTAGTCATCCAGTCACTGTTTCTAGCTACATGTTATTTTTAAATGGAATCTTCCTCTTTTGCAATTTATTCTCTTCCTGCCTGGTTCTCATCTGAGGTTACAGTCATATGACCTCATATTTGCTTAAATAGTAGTTTATTATGAAATGTCCAAGTCTGGGTGTTGGAATAGTGAAATTCATCATCCCAAGATTCTTGATCCACATGAAACACCCAAAAATATGCTTTAAACATTCAGTATCTAATGACTTTCTCTGGCATTTCGTGTGTGCTGACCTGCACTACTACCTATGAGAAAAGCTTTTGCACTCTGCTCAAACATACTTACTTGTGATAGAGGCCACTTATCAGAAGCACCTGAAAGTGCACAAAAATGCCACATTCCTCAGCCCTGAGTTCAAAAGCATCCGATCAGGCTTGGTACTTGATATTCAGAGTTTGTTTGCACGTAATTAGATAAGTAGGTAATGAAGAACAACTTGTGGAACTGCCTTTACAGTAATTATATAAAAACTGATTTGGTCATGCATTTTGTATGTCTTCCATTGCATTAAGATTTGTCGTCAGAGTTCTGATTATTTTGTTTTCTTTCTGTCCAAAAGTCGAAACCAGCTTTCAACATTGCCAGTTCACCTCTGTAGTCTACCACTCAAAGTTTTGATAGCAAGTAATAATAAATTGGTTTCAATTCCTGAAGAAATTGGACAGCTCAGGCAGCTGACAGAGCTTGTGAGTACACACTTATTTTTTAGCTATTACTATTCAGTCTTTGATTTTTTAACTGACGTGTCTAATAGGTTCAGAGGTGCTTCAGAAGAAATAGCAAAAAAAATACTGCAGTAATTGAGACTGTCTGGGCATGTGCAAAATCAACATCCTGTTTCTCATTCTGCTGAGAACTTTGTGATGGTAAACCAATCACTTGTATGTAATGTTAAGTTACTTCAATTTGCTTTGAGTCTAAGGAAGATTTATGTCTGCCATGGTGTCTCCAGCTGTTCTGACTTTGTATAAAGGTGTTAGAAAAGGGTTTGAAATATTCTGAGGCTTTTAATTTTTTATGTGAGGGAAAGATGCATTGGAGGGCAAATGGTCCATGTCAGTTTAAGTGTCTTCCCTATTTTAGGAAGGAGAGCAGGATGGAATTAGAGTTCTTGGTGTGTTTCAGTCTGGCAAAAAGCTTTTCTGCAGCAAGTTGTGCTCTCTCAAATACTGTGGAATAACTTGAATGAGATAACTTGGAATAATTTCTGCATCTGAGTGCTGAATCTTTTAAAGCTTTGATTTCCCCTGTGTATTTAAAATGAGAACAATGCTTCACGTCTGCAGTGAGATTTAATGAGTGTAAAGATCTGAGGTGTTACATGGTTGTCCTTTTCGTTCAGCCCCTAAATACAGAGCTGCATATTTTAGTTAACAGAGACTTACCAGTCAGTGGTAACTCATTCTTTACTCTTGCTGTGTAGGATGTGAGCTGTAATGAAATACAGACAATACCTCCACAGATTGGCAATTTGGAATCCTTGCGGGACCTAAATGTCAGAAGAAATAATTTGGTGCGTTTACCTGAAGGTGAGATAAAGACTGTCAGCTACAACAGCAGAAACTTCAAGCACTCCTTTCTTTCCAATGCCTTTTTCTTCCTCTGCGAGCTAGAAGTAGTGTACTTAATTATTCTGTGAGTTACACATTTAATACTATTGCTTTTTTTTCATACTCTTTTAATCTGCTGAATTGTGTTTATTTTCTCTCTGCAGAGCTGGCTGAGTTGCCTTTGATTCGATTAGATTTCTCCTGCAATAAAATAACAACAATACCAGTTTGTTACAGGAACCTCAGACATCTTCAGACCATCATGTTAGAGAACAACCCTCTCCAGTCCCCCCCTGCACAGGTAAACTGCAGCTAGGAAGTCAGATGTCCAGTTCAGCTAAAAAGGGCAGAACAAAGGTGAAAGCTGAAAGATTGCATTGCAAATTTATTTAAGAACATGAGAATTTTAAATAAATTCGGGTGTCCGAAAGTGTTAAATACACAACACAGCTTGAAAAGTCCCTTTTTATTCTCTTACTTTACTGTATTAGTGGTCTCACCTGTGGGATATTACAAAGAATTCCACTAATGTTAGCCGAATGTTTCTGCTTTCAGCGTGGGAGAGAGGAAGCTCTGTCAGACAAGGCTGATTTTGTGCCACTCAAATATCAAAATTTTGACAGGCCTCAGTGCTGCTTTGTAGCAAAGTGCTCAAATTGGCCTCAGAGCTAGAAACTGCAATATGGCTAGTGACTAATTTGATTTTTTAAATGTGGCTATACAAACCCTTGAGTATTACAGGTTCTACATTAAGCTGCTGCCTCTGAGTCAAGAGTGGCACTTGCTAAGACCTGTAGTTTCAGTAGGGTTTTGCTTCCCTTTTGAAAGCAGAGACAGCTGTTACTGGCTTCATTCACTTTCAATTTGAGCTGGCTTTGGCAGTCTGCCACTGCCATTCAAATCTGGGCATGGGTGGGATGCATCTGTTCTGATGCCAAGGGTATAAATTCTGGTACTTGTAAATGCTTATGTCTTGTTTGCATGATGAGATTTCAGCATCCAGCTGACAGCATGGCCTGCAGACCAGAGTACTTGGGCACAGCCTCCACTTGTCTGTCATGGGCACCCCATGGTGCTCCACTGTAGATGTTTCTCTGCAGTGCAGTGAAATCAGAAGAAAAGATGCATTGGTTAACATAAATGTGCTCATTTATTGCTCTCAAGTACATGTTAAATGTCTGTAAGTTACTTTGAAAATGTATTGTCAAGTTATACTTACTTATTTTTTAAATTTTTTTTTAAGATATGTATAAAAGGAAAAATTCATATATTTAAATACCTGAACATAGAAGCATGCAAGATAGCTCCAGACTTGCCTGATTATGATAGGAGACCCATGGGATTTGGATCTTGGTAAGTTTGGCACAAGCCAAGTTTCTAGTTTTGATGACATTCAGGGTAATTTTGTCTGTTGTCAGAGCCTTTTTTGAAAAAACTGGATCCAAGGATTGTTCTTTGGTAAGTGCATTGATGGAGGTGGCTTTGCAAAGTAAGATTTATGGCTGTGTAAGAAGTGAGGAGCAGTTCAGAAGGCCTGGGCAGTATCACATGGAAGGCAGTGCTAGAATTGATAACACAGTAAGAAGAGTGTGTTGGCATCTTCCAGGTACAGGGGTGTGCTCTCACCTTGTTAGCATGTGTGTTCAGTGTATAAGATCTTGGTATTTTCCACAGGCTTACTGAAGTACACCCCTGCTGTGATTTGTAACCTTTTGTACAGATTTTTATAACTGCTGTGCTCAACCTGCAGGTGTAAATGCTGATCTCCACCCTTTTAGTAAACTCTTATTTTTGGCAAGCTTTCACTTGGCACTGCTGCTTGGCATTGTAACACAAACACTGGAACAGTCAGCCCTATCAGCTGCTAAATTAAGATGTCTAGCAAAAAGCAGGAGTTAAGATTTATTTCTGTTACATGATACAGAAAAAAGGGAGTCAGTGAAGTATGAAACTTGAACATATATAAAAATTACCTAGGTGATCTTGGAAAGTGGTAATAAGGTGTGGAGGAGGAAGTTGCTAAAGAATGTACCACTGTCTTAGCAGCAGTAAAACACAAATCAGGGACCTCATGATAAATCAGTGTGAGTCAGGTTTATGAAGAAGAATTTGCATGAGGGACTGACAGAGTAATTCCTCATAAGCACTGAATGTCTTAGGTTATTTCTCTAGATGAGGTCAATGTATGAACATGTTGAGTGTTACTCAGTTTCCAGTACAAGCCGTTGCAGTTTCTGTGTCATACTGAGGGTACTGTCCTGTAACTGGAAAGAAAAGGCTCTAAATGATAAAATGTCATGATCTGCTTAGCGCTAACATAGTTTGTTTATTTTTAAGGGAAATCACAAGAAAATCAGTGGGCTGTGTGCTAACTGATTTATTGTTGTCTGTAGTTGTGTGTTACTATGGAAGTTTTCATAAACTGCTTTTATGAAATGAGAATTAATCTGTTTGAATCATAGTTTGGTATTATGAATGTAAAAACAAGAGCAGAATTGGTTGAAAATGCTTTCTCCAGAGTGGCTGCCAGATTCAGCCATGTGAAATGAGTTTCAGCTGGCTTTCCTTTAGCTGTATTTCCGTACCCCAGAGGAGATAGGAGTTGGTGATAGAATTATTTGTTGTTACTGTGCTGTTTAGGGCATTTAGTGTTGCAGATGATTCCTCCTGTCTTCATGTACCTATGGAAGAACTGTCCATGGATCAGAGTACATGTTAGAAGAAAATGGTAGGATGATCCAGTGAAAGAGAGGATCCCAAGTTGTTATATTCTTCTGAGACTTGGGATGAAAGAAATAAAAGCCTTCAGCTACGATAACCTTAATATTTCCAGGCATGTCATGAGAGTTTTATGTTTGCTATCTTTAAAGGTGACCAACAGAAGTAAAGTATCAGTCAGTACACCTAGACTTTACTGCTGGCTTATCTGATAAGCTCAGTGCAATACCATGGGGGTTGAGAATCTGAAACTGAGTGGTGGAGACTCTTAAGGCTTAAGGAAGTTGTGTGGTGCTGTCAGTTCACCCTTGATCAGTTTTAATAGCAGAGTTGTTGATACTGCTGATAAAACAAGATACTCTGAAACATTATGGCAGGTGTGGATTGGAGGTTCTAGCACAGCTAATTGTTTTAGCCTTGTGGAATTACATCAGACTCTCACCAGAGTGAAACCTCGAGCACGGAGTCCTTTCCTAAACTTAAGCTACGTGAGATTGATCTTGCAGCAAGGTTTAATCTGCTGCAGGCACTCTCTCATTTGCAGCACTGAAGGTCAGAGCATCTCAGGTTGGTACTGGATTGACTGTGGTTGAGAGGAGGCAGAGCTGTCCAAGCTGTGTTGCAGTTGGCACTGAGGCAGACTGGCATAGCCTGGAGTTGGAAGGTTTAAAATGCAAAGTACTCATGCATGAACCAGTGTAGTGGATATTCTGGGAGTTGGGCAACTGTTCTTTCTTACAAGAGGTAAAAATACATATTTTAGTGTGGCTTTGGAGCTGTGCCTTTGAAATGGTGGCAAGTATTGTCTTTCCTTTGATTGATGGCCTTAGCAGGCATTTCGCTCCTCAGCCTTTGATTTCAAGCCTTACATAGCTGCCCCTGTAAGTTGTGGTTGCCCCAAAAAGCTCTGATCTATCTGAATGCCTAATTGCTGCTCCTTGTAGCTTGTTGGTCAGGGAGGAATAAAAATCTTTAGTCTCAACTGATTTCAGGACGGCTCCTGTATGGTTATACATGTGTAAAGTGTCTGGGAAGACAGAGAGCAGCTTTCATGTTGAAAAGGGGAAGTTGTGGGAGCAGTGATTATGTATTTTTGGGCTTCCAGCTAACCTTAGTGTTAGTGTTACTTTTCAAAAATCTCAAGTTGAAAAGTAAGGCTAAAAGAAAATCTGTATCAAAATACTTCCCCATTTTTGAGCTCTTCAATTTGCAGTAATTGTTCAGCTTACAAGAGGGTGCTCAGGAGATTCTGAAAACATCGATTCATTTAGAATGGAATTATGCTGCAGATGGGTTTTTCTTTGATCCATGTTGTAAATCCAATATGTAAGTTCTATGAACTGTTAGCACAAGCATGGTTCTATTGTCAGTGGTTCCACTTAATCATCCTGAGCAATTTCATGGTCACTCTCTTGTCTTCCCACCCAAAAGCAGGGAGTCGTTTTTTCTTTCCCTTTTTTGTTTTCTAGTGGTTTATTATGCAGATGATCTTTCTGTTCAAATACAGAGCCATAAAGGTGGAACTCTTCTGAGTTAATCAGAACTCCATGCAGGTACAAGAGCTTCTCTTTTGGTGTACCTTTGTACAGGAGCAGATGTATAGCCTAATGTTTTTCATTGTAACTCTCCATCCCTCCTGTTACTGCTTTGCTGTTTCATGGCCATCTGAAAATTAAAGTACCCCTGGATAATAGTCTGTCACTCTTCTACAAAGTCACACACACAGAGTGCTGCATTAGTAATAAGAACAAGTAATTTGAAAATGAGTATTCCTGAAAGCAGGAATTCAGAGGGAGCAACAACTTGAGTGCAATACCAGTGAGAAAATGACCTGCAATTTAGTTATGATGGGGTGAAGCAATTAGTTTCCTGAAACTCATTCTTCCTTATGCATTATGCAGTAATTGCTGCTGCAGTTCTCCCTGGGGCATCGAGTGCCAGTAGGACAGTTGAGCCGTTGTGAAATGCCATCTGCAGTGGATCAGACAAGTCCCATTGTCTCTTTCACTGCAGCTATCTCCAGCAGTTGCCAGATTTGACATCTGTGATGGCTGTACTGCTGAATTACGTAGTTTTTAAGCCCAGAAATGTAGAGAAGAACAGTATGGCTGTTTGGTTGTGTGTATTGTAACACTGGGCACATGTCTAATGCCTTTGGCTAGACATGTCATTGACAAAGCTCTGGAGATGAAAACTGTACTTCTCCAGTCATTATCATGCATTTGAAATAATGTCCAGCTTACTGCAGAGTTTCTTAGGTGGGGAATTATGACACAGAAGACAGTTATGCAGTACATGCTGTGTACTTTTGTGTAGAAGGAGTTTATTCCGTGATTTAGTAGTATTGCAGGGGTTTATGCTTACTGGTGATGAGGTTTGTGGGACAATGTTTTTCAACCAAAAAACATAAGTGTAGCAGAAAATGAAAGTTTGACTTGTGAATCAGTGAAATCATAAGTGTAGCAGAAAACGAAAGTTTGACTTGTGAATCAGTGAAATACGAGATCACTTTTCAGTTTTCTTCGTCATGATTTCTATTTGGGAAGTGTTTGAAGTATGGCTGTATCCTTTGGGTCAGGTTAGCTCTCAGAGCACCAGGCAGTGGCAGGTGACAGCTGACTGACAGGCGTGTGTAGCTGTAAGCACTTGCCATTGCTCTGTGTGGCAAATGCAGTGTGAGGCTTTCAAACGTGCTGAGCTTGTGAACACACTGCAGCTGTGCTTGGTGACTTATTCTGCTCTTGGTCTCTAATAGCTGAGAAGCTTTTGGTGGTATTTATGTTATTACAGTAACTAAAACTATGTGTTTGACAGCCACGAGGAACTCTATTCCAGTCGTCCGTATGGAGCACTCGATTCTGGCTTCAACAGTGTGGACAGTGGAGACAAAAGGTGGTCAGGGAACGAAGTAAGTGTTGCAGCTTTATTTTTGTTGAGTGCAATATTGTAGTATTGTACAGGAAAGAGAGCCAAATATACACATCTGGGAGCATATTCCATAGGTAACATGTATGCCAGTGTGCAGGTTGCCTTGAGCCAAAACGATTTGTTGTTTTATTGGAGAAAAACAAACGTAATTTTATATGGGATGGATGCAGAGTTGGAAATAACAACAGAAATATGTAAAACAGTGCATGACATTAATTTGCTGGAGCATAAAAGATGAGAAAAATCGTGTTCCTCATTTTAAAAAAAGCTTGTAACTTGGTACAATGCTGAGTCAACTGAAATTACTCATAAGTAGTTGTTTAAATAAAATAAGTCTGAACGCGGAGATTAAGCTTCAAAAATCAGATGGAAACTTTGTCTTCTTTCTTTGCAACTTGTCTGAAATGTTAAAATCTGTTTGCCATTTGGAAGCAGGACAATGGAATCTCTTAGCAAAGAGACTGTCAGTTCTTTTTCCCAGGAAGAAGTTCTAAGTTCGCTTTCCCTCTTGGGACATCTAGACTAGAAAGTAGCCAAGACCTAAAGCATCTCTGTGAGCTGAACTCTATACATCTGCTTGCACTCCTAGGTTGATTTTTGAGAAGGTTCTTGGTTTCCATCCTGGGATGTTTTCAGACATTTGCAGATCCTGCAAACAAAACTGTAGGCAAGCTGGTTTTTAATGAAACTGTATGTGTGTTCATGAGTTTTAATGAACTGTATGTGTGTGTAGCCAAGACCTAAAGCATCTCTGTGAGCTGAACTCTATACATCTGCTTGCACTCCTAGGTTGATTTTTGAGAAGGTTCTTGGTTTCCATCCTGGGATGTTTTCAGACATTTGCAGATCCTGCAAACAAAACTGTAGGCAAGCTGGTTTTTAATGAAACTGTATGTGTGTTCATGAGTTTTAATGAACTGTATGTGTGTTCAGATCAATACACTATAGCTGTATTTTGCTTTAAATTAGCATTTTGTGGGTGCAAACTAGGAAAACTCAAGTGAAAACCCAAGTCAAGAGGTGGTAGCTTAAAGATGGTATTTCTGGATAAAAGTGTTTCTTACCTTCACTGTTTGTTTCCTAAAGCCAACAGATGAGTTCTCAGATCTCCCTTTACGTGTGGCAGAGATCACCAAGGAGCAGAGGCTGCGCAGAGAAAGTCAGTACCAGGAGAGCAGAGGGAGCACAGTCGTAACCAATGGTGGAGGTAAATAGTGACCTTTGGCTAGCAGTGTTCATTGTCAGCATTATTAAAGTTCCAGGGTGTTTGCTATAAATAATAGGCTGTCTGAAGAGGGAGAAAAAGAAATATTCAGGTGGAATTACACAAAAGGAATGTTATGTCAAAACACTGTTGTTTTAAGGATGGCAAAGGCAAAATCAAACAGCATCAGAATTAGGATTTTTTGTAAGGCATTGTGTCAGCTTTTGCTTATGTGCTGCATGAAAGTCTCCGACTACTTCAAACAGCGTTTTGGGATCTTGGATTTCAGTGCATGGAGTTTTGCTGTTTGAGCTGCTGGGGAAGATCTACAGCAGTACTAAATTGTTCGTGCTCTGTGCCGACTGCTGTCGGAACGGGATGAGCAATTTTGTCAGGGAATTTCATATTTCCAAGTAGCACAAGTGTCTCATTCCAGAGTCTTGGAGTTTAATCCAAACTTTCAAGTCATGTAGGAGGGACTGATGTTTGTGAGTGATGTTGCTTTGTTGCACTTTCTCAGTTGGTGTCCTGCAGCCTGACAGTAACACCCTCGTAGCTGTTCAGGAGGTGACAGTGCTTTCCGTGTTTCTTGATCTCTGCAGTCCTCCTCTGTTTTAGCCTCCAATGATCTACTGCTGCCACTGTCTCTTTTGGTTTATATGCCCTAAATTTAGCATTTCTTCCAGGTTTGTTTGTTTCAGTCATTCCTTCTTCTCTATTTCTCTGCACTAATTATCAGATCTCATCCTCAGAGAATTTGACTCATTTTTCTTCTTTCTCAGTTGCTCCGTGTTTCATTTTCCCTAATGGCTACAGGTCATGTTCTCTACCTGAGCATCACTTTTCCCAGCTACTTCTAATCTTCTGTGCCTAGCTCCCACTTTTTCTTCCCTCCTCCTACTCATCTGCATCTTTTGCTATCTTCTTTTCTTGGTCTTGTTCTTGTTCGCCACAATCTTTTGTTTTCTCTGGCCTCTTTTAGAAATACCTGAAACTTCTTAGTTGACACACTCTTTTACACATTAACAGGGGAAAAAAATCAGTTCAAACAGTTAAATTCTGGCAAAGTTAGAAGAATTGAAGACATGGTGTCCTGGGAAGCTCTGGGCAGCCTTAATAGCAGGTAGTGCTGCCAACTCTGCCTCCAAGACCAAACTTATTTTGTTCTTTAGGTTTTGCACACCAGGGATTTCAAAATGCCTTGTAGTCTTTTTGGTTGGAGCACAATCAGTTCAGTAGGAGTATCCAAGAGGGACACAAGCCATGGCATGTGGCTGTCCCAGATCCAGATGCTTTCCAGTTTTGTGTTCCTTACACAGATATCGATATCTTCCACCCTCTGTTTCATTATTGTTGTTATAATAAATGTTTAGTAAGGCTGGAAAAAAGGGAGTTTTGGTTTCTTTGGGGGTTTTTAAGATTTGAAACTGAGATGGAGATTTAATGAAGCCAAAGTATCTAGGAATGCTGTTTTGGATGGTTGTGGTAGCAGAGGAGGTGGCTTTGGCAGGAACAGTTGCTAGATTGTGTGGTGAGGCAAAGAGAAGTCTGTTTCAGACAAGCAGGAAAGGGGTGGGGGAGTAGAGTAAGAATGTCTGGAGGAGAGTCTGGAGTAGGTTTGGGGAGAATTTAAGGAAAGAAGAAAGCTCTGATGCTCTGAAAGGGAGATTATGCTTTCCCCTGCATCTGTAGCACAGCATTTTTCACCAGGGTAGTTTGCTCAATGTCATGACTCTCAGAATCCCTGGGCAGAATGTGCAAAAGCAGTGACAAGTGAAAAAATTGCCCTACATAATATCTCCCATACAAAGGAAAATCAATACCAGCCAAGCTGTGCTGTTTCTTGTTCTCATTCCAGTGATTCCTAATTTCTTTTTTCATTCCTCTGTTTACAGTAAAATTGCAGGTGCCTTTTTGTAGTTTTAGAGGGGAGTTGTTGCTTTTTGTAGTGTTCTTCATTATTCTCACATATAATATTTTTCCTATATTCATTGCATATTGCATCCAGATAACTTATACACACTGTTCTCTATTCTGTTGTTGTAGTAGTAAAAACAGTAGAAGAATCTGTCATATCCATTCCAATTTTTCTGACAGAGATTAATTAGAACCAAGAGAAATTATTCAAAAATGTAAACAAATCGTTGCACATTCTTGGCATTAGCTGACAGGTTTTGATATATAGTTTTTGGTGTTGAAAAAAAAATCCCAGTATTTACTTTTTCAGTCACTGCAAAACCATCTGCATCCAGCAGTATAGAACACTGTGCTTGATGCATGTTTCTCATTGCTTTTTGAAAAGCATAAATTTTACCATTATTTCTAAATTTGTTTATCAAATGTTAGTGGACCTGGCAGAATCCAAGAGCTTTTAGGCTGAGCTTTCCCAGATGGAAGAAAAACAGGAGGGCCTTAATTCCTGACATTGCTGCTTTGTTGGTTTTTTTCCTGTCTTGTGGGTTATCTAATTTGGGGTGTTTTCTTTGTGTATATTTATCAAGTGGAACATGATCTCGATCAGATTGACTATATTGATAGCTGTGCCACGGAAGAGGAGGAGGAAGAGGTGAGGCAACCCAAGTGCATGGACTCAGACAGCCTCAGCTCACAGTTCATGGCATATATTGACCAGCGGCGAATCTCTAACGAGGTGGTGCTTTTACTTGAATTAATTAAATTCCTACACCCCAGGAAAGCCCTTGAGAAAACTGTTCCCTGTTAAGCCATTTGGATGGAACACTTTTGGAGAGTGTCCTCAGAAAACAAACCTATAGAGACAGATTTTCAGCCCCGTAATGTTTCCTTCTGTGTTCTGTCAGTCTTAATTAGTACCTGTGTACACAGTCACACGGCCCAGCAGCTCACTGTGCAGGCTGCATGAGTCACTTGTCTGAAAAATCCATGTGGCTGATCTGCTGAAACAGTAGCCATTGCTCTGTGATTCAGATCTGGCCTTTCAAAGCTTTGTGTGTTCCGAAGCAGAAAGGTATTTGCTCTTTGAAGAAATAAAAAAAGAACAGAGATCTTGTCTGGTGCCTATTTTGTCCACCTTGTTACTGTTTGTTCTGTTTAAAATCAGTCACACGGATAGAAGAGGTGCCTTCGTGTTGCAAATCTCATAAACTCAGCATCAAATGGCAGAAGCTGATGTCCCTTGAAGCAGAGACACAGGAGTAAAACTCAGAAAAGGCAACTATTGGCAGTGCAGCCCGAGGACTCTGCTGTAGATACGGAAAAGACATAGGTCAACAGCAGAAAAGCTATTCCTTCAGGTCTCTGTAGTCAAAAAAATTAAACTGCTTTTAGCAGAAGCAGTAATGTCTCTGAAAAGACCATCCAGAATACTCCTTAGGAAGGCTAACCATGCAATATAGCAGCATGCATGCAGCAGGAGTGAAAACCTGCCAGTTAGTCTTGAAAAGTTTCTGGTTTTCTACATTAATGGGTGTCAGTAAAAGTTTTTGAGAGGTAATGTGTCTCTGTTTCCAATGGGATAAATGATTCCATAGCTCAAATTAAACCCGATGTGTTCTTATTCATCCCATGTTTTGCTTTCCTGATCCCTCTGGGACCTGTTTTAGAGCATCATAAATGACCATCAGCTGCTGTATCCTGTGTTTCTGAGAACCCAGTCTGCACTGCTGTACACTTGCAGGGTTAAACTCCAAGGAATGGATATAAATTTCAGTAAATATTTTCTACCTACATGAACTTCTCCACATGATTCTTCATAGTGGAGGTGTTAAACTCCTAAAGTTAACAGCAGGCAGATTTAGTCTTTGAACTAATATTTATTTAAATTGGAGAGAAAAGTGAGAGCGAGCTTGCCTGGTTGGAAATTAACGTCCCTGAGTTGTGTTTTGTGCTTATTTGTTGGGTATTTCAGATATCAGTAGTTACAAATACAGCTCTACAAAGAGATTGTTTGACAGGTACAGTTTTCTGAGTAAGTTGCTAACTTAGTCTTTGGTGGTTTTTTGCATAGAACTCCCCAGTAAAGCCTGTGTCTGTCAGAGAGCTTCAGAGAACAGAGGACACAAGACGACATTTGCATCAAAACAGGTAAAATTACTGTGGTAACAATCATTTTATCCAGAATTTAATGAGGAATGCAGAGCACGGGTTTACTGAACATGTTAAGGACATGGCATTGTTTTCTGTTGCTTCACCAGAATGTGCATGGCATTTTGCTGGCAAGTTACTGCTCCAGGTTAGGAACTGGGATTCTGATAATGGCATTGAACAAAAGGCACAGCTGTTCTAGGCCAATGCTCAGCTTTAAATCAGTTGGTTAAAGAAATGTGTCTCAGGGAAGTGTATACTTTTAAACTGATTTAAGAGCTGCTTTTTGTAATTTAATTTGTGCTGTGATTAAATCGTTGATTTAAGCTATCAAGGACAGAAGGCATAAAGATAGTGCAGGGTTAGAGGAAGCACAGAGTTACTGTGGAGCCTCTGATGTGCTGTGGGGTCACATTCTTGGTTGACTGTTGGTAGCTGTAGTAGTGTAAGGGTTCAGTTTAATTTGAAGTGTGCTTTTCTGTGCCATCATCATGAGCTTCCATCAGGAGAAGAAAGGATGAAATGAGAGGCAATGCTGAAAGCAGGTCACTTAGTTAACAAAGTAGAGTTTTTGAATGATGTACACTGGAGGGAATTCTTGTATGTAAAATAAGGGTCAGGGTTGGACAGAATGTCAATGAGGATTGCTTAAGTTTAAGAAAAGACTTTTGGATGTCTCTTTAAAAGACTAGAAAATAAACAAATGTACAACTTCTTGTAAATGAAACTAAAATCAAAATGGATAGAACTGTTAATATGCCATGGAAGCATTTCAGTGTTCTGTGGAGTAAAAGTGAATGTGCAGGGACTGAGCAGAAAACCAGCCCACTTGTACATGGAATGTTTGGAGCAGGGAGGGAAGACAACTGCTAGTCCTAAGTGTGTCATTACTTACACTGTCAGTAGAAATTAATTTTTAATGGATTCTAAAATGGTATTGGAAGAGCAAAATGAAACCAAGATCAGTGTATAAATTTTTCCATTTTGAGATGTGCAGTAAATGTTCAGATCCAGTAGCTGTACCGGTGTAAAGGAGAGTAACTCCTTCAGCATTTGTCAGCATTCCTTATCCTGCAGTGTCCACAAGTAAGGTATGAGGTAACACAGCAGCCTGACACATCCTCCCCAAATGAAGTGTGTGCTCTTGGTTTGAAAGGCTGGTTGTTTGTTTGTTTACTTACTTTCCTCTTTGAACATTTGTGGTCAATGTGGAAGTAATTAGATTTACAAACACTGGTTTCCACGATACATCTGAAGGAAACAGGAGAAGGCTAGGGCAGAGCTGCTGTTTACAGAGACAGATGTTGATGATACAGGAAGTTGTAGTTCACTGGGGTATCCAGTGTTTTCAAAATTTGACTGAAGGATAGCAGCAGATCTTCACACAGAAGTAATTAATGAACTAAATGAATTTTAGCTTACTCATGTTGTGCTGCAGCAGAATGAAATGCTTCATAAGGCACTAAAACCAGGTCATGCAAAACTGGGTAAAATCAGCCATATGACAATGAGTATTGTTTTATATTTTAAGCTTGTATTAGTCAAATGTTTCATTTGTGGCGACCACAAGCTGTAAACTGCTTCCACAGTGATTCTGTGCAAATGCCTTGGCAGGCAGCCCCTTTTCCTGCAGCATGTTGGAGCCATTAAAACTTAGAGTTGGATGTAGTGCAGACTTCATCTCGAGAGTACTTACATTGGTTGATTCAATTCAATACAGTTTGTGCCTCTGCACAGACTGTGGTGCATTCCTGATGCAACAAAGCTGTGTGTGCTCTGCTCTGAATACACTTCTTGGCACTCAGTTGAACCCTGTCCAGTCCCTTCATGACAGCACAGTAATGGGTTTGTCATGTGCACTGGTGCTAATTTAATTAGCAGAGACCTGTAACGTATGGGTCTTCCTCATCTCTTAAACTTCTCCATGCAAAGAAGGTCGTAAGTCTACACACAGGCAGATGGGCTGACATTTTTTGGGAGTGCATTAAGTGTGTCTCTGTGCCAGAGTTGCCCCGGGGAGCAAAGGTTACAGTGTTTGGGCTGTCAGGAGTAATCTCCTTGATTTCCATCAACTTTGCTTCTAGGCAGCAACATGGCAGGGAACATGCCATAAACTGTGGACCTTGGGAATTGTTTCAGTGCTAACAACTGCCTTCAAGCAAAGAACTGACTGCAAAATTTCTCTCTTGTTGTTGATGTGATCCATAAGAGACAGATTGGGCCTTGTTTGCCTTGTGACTTTGATGGCTTGTGTCACTGGCGGATAGGAAGTCATAGCCTGATCGGCGAAGTGAGCAGGACTGTTCTGAAAGTATCAGAGAGTGCTGATGTTCAAAAATAGTTCTGTTCCTTCCAGAGCAGAGCAAGGCCTGCAATAACCAGAATACAGTCTTACAAGAGGGAATCCATCTGTCTGTGTTTTGAAATCATTGTTACCTAAGCAAGTTACACTTATTTAGTTATGCACTGCAGTAGTTGTGATCTGACTTGGTATCACAACATGATTTCTTTAGTCATCCTAAATTTCACTTTTGTGGTTGTCTGAAGCTAATGGTCTAGGCAATTCTCTTAGAAAAAGAGCTGTAACCTAGAGAAGAATTCATCTGACAGTACTTTGTGTGCATCAGTGGCCAATCCCCTTCCACCTGGTGTTTACCTGCAGGGATACCGATGAATTGCGAAGACCTGAAACTCTAAATTTGATGCAGGACAAAGAGCATCATCAAGTACTAAGGAGTTATGTGGACAGGACAGAGAGGTAGGGAAAAGAAATGTACAGTTTCTACTGATTAATTTTATTATTCCTCCCTCCCCCAAATAGCCGCAATAGCCAGTTGTTCCTCTAAATGAGAATCATGTGAAATGTTCCTGGTTTGGGTACTCTCAGAGAATGGGAATGAAGTACTGAGTATCTCAGTGTAATAGGCCAAGCATACAACTCCACTGGTACATATTATGCTGTAGAAAAACATAGCACAATTCAGGAGCAGAGATGGCAATGACTGCATGAAGTCTGTTGTGCACAGTGAGTTAAACCATGATTGCAGCAATTAGTTTAACAGCTTTGCTTACTAAATAGTACTCTCTTGATTTGATGAGATACTTGTGTGTCACTGACAATTCATGTATGCAAAATTGTACCTTTACTCTCTGTTTTTGCCTTTGTCAGACCTTTGCCCGATTCGCCTTATTTTCTCTCGCTGTCAAGTCACCACAATCAGGTAACACACCGAGCTCTGCTGTTTTATTCTTTTGCCTGAGTTTGGTGCAAAACCGAACCATAAGGCATGTTGCCCACAAGACATGCTTCTTTCTGCATGACCCATCTGTAGCTCTGTCTTTACTTGCCTGCTGCCCTGTTTGCCCCAGGTGCCCAGCTCGGATTGCGAGCTGCAGCGCAGGCACGTGGAGCGCGCACGGCGCGAGGCACAGCTGGCAGCGCTCCAGTACGAGGAGGAGAGGATGAGAACAAAGCAGATTCAGAGAGAAGCTGTCCTTGACTTTGTTAAGGTACCTCCTTTTAGTACCAACTTGATACCTTTATATCTTTTCTGAATCTCTTAATTATACCTAATCGCCGAGGTCATTAATGCTTGTATGTTGTGCTCTGGGTGTGCAGAGCACTTGATAAAGAAAATGGACAAATAGCATTCAAGTTCATACAGTGATGGTGCTGTAGCTTAACAGGCAAAGCTAGAACTGGGGAGGAAGGTGGAAGCCTTCCCAAAATGATTGTTGCAAAAAAATTCTGGTTTTGCATAGCTCACCTTGTTCTCTCAATTTTCACTTGCTTAGATGTGACAGGGTTGGTACAAGAGAGAAGGAGTTTCATTTGAGAAGGCACAGGGGCAGTTTAATTTTGAGGACAAATTAAACAGTGAAGAAAGCAATCATATACACAAAAATATAATGTTGCCTCATCATGAAATGATTATTTCATGATAATAAGATAAGTGACTTCCAGGTAAAGCACAGGTACCTCAGACACTCTGTGGTTGCTGTGTCTTTGCTTTCTCTGTCACTGCAGTCATTGCTGCCCAAATCTCACCATCACAGATTTAAGAAATGTTTTGTGCTTAGGGTGTTCTGCCCAGAGACAAAGAATGTTTTATTGCCTTCATGTAACGTGTACAGTTAGTTCAGAAAAAGGGGTTTAGCTGCCTGACACTGAGCTTTTCATTAGCACCAGCTAGTCTCAGACCCCTGGCAGTGTTTAGTAGAAGAGCTGCTTTTATTGAAGGTCCAGCTCAGTCTGTCAGTTAGAGGCTTTAGCTCTTAGGATGCATTTTGTTCACTGATGAGCCTCTTGGGGGTGTTGGTTTGGGTTTTTTTTTTTCCTGTTGCCTTTGTTATTCATGAGTACTTTATTCTCAGCAGTTAAATTCCTCCCTTGGGTTATATTTTGAGTTTGTTATGCATCTTTAATATGCATAATTAAGGAAAGCCAATTTGGTTTTTTTTGTTTTCATGTGAAATAAAGGCTATTTTTACTAATATCAGTGAAGTTTCTGCTCAGTGGAAACTTGCAATCCTCCCCAATGCATGTTTTATTTAAAAACTAGGACTTCTGAGTTTTAAAACACTTTTCAGTTATGCTGGTTTGTTCTGAGCTTCTGTCTCTCTGTGACATTTTAAACTGGTCTTTCATTTTTCCCTTTTCTCTACAGCAAAAAGCATCCTTAAGTCCTCAGAAGCAAAGTCCTCTGGATAGTGAGGTAAGAGTCCAATGAGAGTATTACTGGGGATGTCAGCACTGGAATTCTTAGCTCTCTCCCTCGGTTATTTTCCTGACGGTGGAGAACTCTTCAGAACTAGGTTATAGCATAGTTTTATCGCACATTATTAAATCTTGGGTTGGTTTTTTTTTTATTATGGGACCAGTCTGATATTTCCTTCTGTTCATGTAGATGTCCAAGTGTGTTGTTTTATTGTTTCTTGTATGTTTTTATGTTCTCTGCAGAAAATACATTTCATATTCCATTTTAACACGCTCCTTGTGAACAGTAGTCTGCTTTCTAACAGGAGTGTTCAGACAAGTTACTGTGTTACAGTTATCCATCACTGAGTAGTTTTCTCCCAGTTTCCAATTATTAGATCACCAGTTATCCTAGAAGGATTAAGCATTAGAATTTTGAGTGCTATCAAAAAAAAATTTTCTTCCAAAAAAAGTTTTTTTCTACTGTAGTTTTATAATCAAAACCAGTAAGGGAACACAAATCATACAAGGCTCAGTCTTCTAGAATACACAAGAGCTGAGCCAATGACATCTGTTCAGTCTCTGCATCAGATTTCTGCATAGTAATAGCTCTTCCACTGCTTGCCATCCCCACTTTTGTCCAGTGGAAGATAATCCACTTGGCAGTGTTAATCAGATCAAAACTTTTAATAATATAATGAATATTATAGTTCTTTAGCAGTGTTTTCCAGTTAACTCTTTTTTGTTAGAAAATTACCAAAACATGGGGTAATTGAAATAGTTTTTGCTCCTCTTTCTTCTTAGTATTCTTCTGTTCTTAATTTATTCCTTTAAAGGGTCCTTTGTTCCACCACAGTAAGCACTGTGAGTGCACAGTTTTCTGTATTTGCTTGAGACAACACAGGGAGCAGAATAATTGATTCCTTAAGTGATACAAATGCACTGTAACTCGTGGGTCATGTGGCTGCATATTCCTGCAGAGTTACATGTACTTCATGGGTTGTTTTAAAAAGCTTCACTGTGCCATAGCCAAGCAGTACATGTTCCAAAATGTCTGTCTGTTCACATGCTGTGTGTTTCTGACATCCTGTGTGTTGCTGACATTGCTCCATCTCTCCCACCTCCCAGTGTCCCTTTCCATCCAGAAGGTCTCAGCATACTGATGATAGTGCCTTGTTAGTGGTAAGATCCTGCACGTAATGGCCTTTTTATGTGGCAGATTTTAGAGCATAGAAATAACATGTTATGATTGTCTCAGATTAGACCAACTGTTTCAGAGCTAATCTAAATAGCGTAAAACATGACCATCTTTGAAAAGTGACTTAACTGTGAACTATAGTGTTATGATTTCAATGACACCTTTGCTCTCAGCCATTTGTTAAGCAAACAGTGATGTTTTGCCACAAAATAATTTAAGGTTCTCTTTTTCTGAGAGCAGAAGAAAATTGCTGATAGTAAAGAACAGTTTCTGAAATTAAAAATTCACCTCTAGTTGTTGTGGTTTGGTTTCTTCTCCGTTCAGCTTCCTAATTGATGCGTTCTCCAGTGGCAAGTAAGCAATTTTAATGCTTCGAGTACAGCCTTCTGGTTTAACTTGTCTGCATCCTGCACAGGGGGGTTAGAGGTACTTAGCACAGGAAAAAACTCCTCTGCATATGAATGCTGCAAGTCGTGGAATATTCCTCATGCCATTTTATTGTCTGTTGATGAAAATGTCTTAAAAATAATCTATTTTAAACACTTACCAAAACAAAAAATATTTATATACATAATTCATGTTTTATGCTATTTCTTCCCTTATGGCATCTTGCCAGTGTAGCATAATTAGAGTCCAATTAATGCCATAATCCATGTCTGTAAAAGAAAAAAACACACCTGATTTGCCTGCTGTTGCATGACTGCATGCCTAGAATTTACTTTCTTAATTTGTGTGCTTCCATTATCTGCTTGAATGTTCTTTAGGCAGTGCTCTCGGTTAGAACAGCTCTGCTGAATGTGTTGGTCAATATATTTACTGTCTCTTTATTCAGACTTTTTGGTTTTCCTGCTTTCACATGTTCAGCACTGTGTGGGTGAGAAAGAAAGCAAGCCTAAAATATTAGAGACAGATTTAATGATCATGCATGTGCCTCTTCAGACAAGTCAGAATCAATGAGCATATTAAAATGTGCTTTCATACATGGATAATAAGGAGCAGGAGAACAGCAGTGGTTTGGGTTAAGAGCTGATACCCTGTTGTCAGTGAATTCATCTGGGCAGTGTATTGTGAAGACACCTTTAAGGACCCCATTTCTGTGTGGTCAGGTGACTTCTGTTGTAATTTCCAGAAACTATTTTGACACTGGCTCCCATCACTGTTTGTTTCCTTTGTGTCTTTAACCAAGTTACATCCTTCCACTTCACAGAACAAGTGACCAGGCTGGGAGGGAAAGATTGAACTGGATTTGAAAGCATTCATTTCTCTGTTCATTCTTCTTTTAATTTCTTGCCCTTTTCAGCAGCACTAATCTATAATGGTATATGAAGTCCTGGAGGTTCTGAGCTGCTGAAGTATGATCTGCAGCTCTGTTTTGTCGTGGGGATAGACACTGTGTCTAATGATGACATATGCCAGGGCAGCTGTTTCTGGCAATTGCTCTAACTGCAACATTAAGCCCATAGTAGCTCCTGAATTTGTAGCATTTTTTTGTTTCCACAGATGTATTTTACATGGTAAAAACTTGTTCAACAGCAAGGAAATGTTCATCAGTTTGCTTTTCAAAAAAGAAAAAAAAACTAACTTGTAAATCTCCTTTTTAAAATCTTACATCATGTTTCTTGTGGTCCCTTCCTTGATGTCTTTTATCACCAATTAAAGTTAAGATGTACTCAGATTGCACAGGTTGCTCTGACCATTTCCTTCTGATGTAAACAAGTTCGGGACAGTCTGAAGTTACAAAATGATTGCCCATACCTTCCAGGAATGTTAGTGGTTCAGTTTAGTTGTGGTTCCTCCTGCAGACCTGCAGTTAGAGTGGAGTAGAGTCTGGCTGTAGTACTTAATTGCACACAGTGGTGGGTTTCTTTGTGTTGACCTGTGATAGCCAGGCTGAGTAAAGTGTTGTCAAAGAAATGTCATCACTGGCTTCTCTGAGAAGAAAAGGTTTATATTAGCCATGTCCTGCTTGCTGTTCTCACAAGGGTTGTCCCATTCCTTATAACCGAGACCACTTGTTGAGTTGATGTCAAGGCTTCAGACTTGGCTCATGTTTTCTACCTTCATTGCTCCTAAATCTCATTTTTTACCAAATACCTTCTTGTTTTCACCTATACTGTCCCTTACAAGGTTAGTGCTACGGAGGGAAAAAAACCCAACAAATACCCTTTCTAACTGCTGTTCAATTTCTCTGTTGTGAAGCCCATGAGGTGCTTGATAAGCACCAGGCAGCTGCCCTGGCCCCTTCCTCTCACAACCTTTGTGTCATTGCTGCCTTCTGCTCCCTTCCTTGTGTTGTGTTTTCTTGTTGTGCTCTCAGACTTGGCCCAAGGCTGTCGTGCTCCTGTTAGCACGTGGGAGCTCTGAAACTATTTGAGTAAAGCTCTTAGGCACCAGAGTGTTACAAACAATAATGGTATGGGTAAAGTAAGCAGGACTTGAATTATGCTAGCTTGTACCCTGGCCTTGTCTCTCAGACCGTTGGCATCCGTTTGTGTATTCCAGTGTTTAATAACTGAATTCCCTTAAAATATCCTTATTTGGTTCGTGCAGAGTTCTGGTTGGGCTCTGCTTTGGCAGTCTCTGTATCTGCAGTTGTTCCTGGTGTAGGGAGTTTTTTCTGACTTCAGTGCTAGACCTAGAGGCCACGTGTGGCATGTGCAGAGGCTGGTGTGGGTCTGCACTGCAGCATCCTGGCCCCTTTAGCATTGTGGCTGTCTTTTCTCACAGTCATTCTTTGCCTCACTTTTTCCTTTCTTCTCTCTTTCTTTCCTTACTGTCCCTGGCAGAATGGCTTTGAGCCTCTCTTTGTGTTTGAGATTGACAATAACACCAATACCATTAAAAGGAGGCCAGGGACTCGCAAACAGGTGAAGAGCATGTGGTGTGTTGCTGTTGTGACTGTCCCACCCTGTGCTGTGCTGTGCTCCCCTTCCCTCAGCCCAGTGCTGGCTACGTGGGTTGTGACTTCTCCTCAGTCTGTGTCAGGGCTGCAGGAATAGACAGATGTGTTAATGCTACAGGCCACCTAGTTCTGGTTTATTTTACTGTTCTCATGCTGACTAATGTTTTGTCTAAGTCAAGTGATATTTTGAAACTCTTCAGTGAAACAGAACAAAACAGCCCCATGATTTTGGCTCTGCAATGCTATGGAGAAAGAAGCTGCCTTGAGGATCAGCTGTTAGTCTGTACAAGGCTGAAAGATGTTTGTATTTAAGGCTTGCCCTGAGTGTAAAACTCTCCTTCCAGTCCTGGCTGTGCTGTTCTGAAGTGGCAGAATAGTTGGAAAAGTTCTAAATACTAACACTCCCAAGTGTGTCTTTCACTGCCTGTGGAGTTTCTTGGTGTCATTTGATGTTCTTTCCTGTGCTGAACTGTCAACCTTGCTGTTTGAATGCTGTTTAGTATAGTTTCAGTCGTGAGCCATTCAGTCCTCAAATGTTTTGATTGTGCTTTCAGTGAGACATAGAATTTGGCTTTCCAGATCCACCTGTCAGTGACAGATGGGCACACTGGAGCTGTTCTGTAAAAAGGAAAAGTTGTTTATTTGGTTGGTTTTGATAGTGGCCAGAAGTGAAATGTGGCTGCACTTAATTTGTGGCAGCACTGCCAATCCTGACACTGACATCTTCTCCAAGAGCTAGATTCCACCCACAGAATCTCACTGGCTTTGTGTGTGATCACAAGGATCCGTGTTAGGTGTTTGTGGCAGACACAAAGTATGTATTATTGAGCCCTTTATATGTGGGTTTCTTTGATTTTACAATGTTAATAGAAAAATGACTTACTAAAAATACATAATAAAAAGCTATTTATTTTTAATAGTGGCTCAGAATAGACTCTTGTAGGGTAAAATTGTCTTTTGTCTGATGGCATAGGCATTACATTAGCTGTTAATACAAAAGCTTTTGCCTCTCTTAGTGTTCTTAATTCTGTTTTTGATGTCTCTGTATTATGTGCAAAGGAAACATTGTGCCTCCCAAGCTTATTAGCCAGAAAGTTCAGGAGAGTAGGAAGGCTTTAGCTGTAGTTTGGCAAGTGTGGATCTGTTGCTTGTTGAGTGTTCCTGGGAATGTGATCATGATCACCTCTTCATTTGTGACTTGTCTGCTGCTTTCCACCTTTGTGCATGACCTGTCAGCTGCTCACTAACTGCTGCTGCCTTCTCTTTCTTTCTGCATTCAGTCACTCTCAGGGTTGAACCAAGAAAGCTGTGCTACTACCCTGCCTAATGCCTCTACCTTCAGCCCTGTCAAGGTATCTCTTGCTATTATCATTCACCAGTAAAGCCAACAAAAAATCTTGGATCCACACATCTGTTTTAACAGGTGTTAGTCTGTCAGCATCTAATCAAAAGTTCAGGTAGGGTATGAATCCGATTTACCTGATTAAACTGTGATAGTATTACCTCATCTTAGCTTTAGGCTGTGTCTGCAGGAGTCCTGATCTATAAAACGTGGTAACCAGTCTCTGCTCCAAGGGGTTCTTGGTTGTCTTTGATATTGCTTTTTCTGTACAAGATCGTTTGATCAAGTGAGTTCATCAAAAGTACACTGGTGTTCTTTACCTGTTTCTTTCTTTTCTGTGAAAACTGCTGTACTGGATGCATTCCTCACAAGAAATCATGAGCCTGTGTGAGCACTGTGACAAACCCGCAGTGTGTTTCACTGGGGAGAGAGATGCTCAGTAAACAGCAGCTCTGCATTGGCAAAGGTGTTAGAGAGGTGTGTCCTTATCCATGCTGCTCTAACACCAGTTCTGCATGTTGCCTAATACCTGCTTCTCAGTGTCCCTTTTGCCAAGAATACTTTTTCACTTTGGCTTGGAAGGAGGAGTCGACAGAGATCTGTCATTGCATAGTCAGTGCTGTTTCATCATTCTTTTTCCTCAGAAGAACAAGCAGTTGTGTCATTTCTGCAAAAGAAAAGGCTTTGTCTCTGCAGAGATGAGACTTGGGGAACATGCTGTGTTTTTTCACACTTCTCGTTATTTCTCCCAGACACATTTAGATGGATGGAGCTTTTTTTAGAACATAGTGAATTAATATGTAGTCAAAGCTATTCCAGATTAGCACCATTTATACTCTTCTGCTTTTTTGTTCACAGAGTGATGACAGATCTACCATCTCCCCTGGCTCACCTACTGCTCAGACAGGTAACAGGGAAAGGAAGAAAAATTCATGAAATACGAGATGAAAATGCCTGCTTGCTTGTTTGAACTGTGAATAGAAGGGACCATCTGTTCCCATCGCTGTATGTGGCACTGCTGTGTCTGAGAATTTACCCAGTTATTTGGGTCTCCTCCGAAGAACACAAGGGAAGAGGCAACAGGGGTGAAGCATGTCCTCAGGCAGAGCATAGGGTTTGCCTGGTTTAGGCCTTCATGGAGGCTTTGGCACACAGATGCATACAGCAAGAGTCAGAACAGTTGTTGGAATTGGTATGTGGAATGTGCTTTGCATGCAAGTGTCCTTGGAAGTGCCTTTTCCTGCCCTGTGCTTTTATCATGCATGGCTGTAATTTATTTTGTCATTATTACATTAAAAGTTTTGGTTTGTTCTTTTTAATTACCACATTGCTGAACCCATTTCCTATTTAAACTCTAACCATTTCCTTCTTCCTCCTTCATTTCCTGTGCCTTTCCACATTTGTTTAGTCCACCTTTCCCCTCCATATCCTGGCCATGCAGCCCTGCCTTCCTATAGAAACCCTTCCCAGCGACCCGAGAGTTTCCTTTTCCGAACAGCTGTCAGGGATGAAGCCAAGAAAGGTAGGTTACATAGCTCAGAAAGTAGCTGGTTTTGCTATGTTATATTGACATCTGCACTACTTGGGGTTTGCAGTGTTTGGTTGCTTCAGGTCCTTATCATCAAACTCTTGTTAGAGTTCTGTGTGCAGAGATGACGTTACATACTCTGAACAAACAATGTTTTATTTAGAGCTGTCAAATATTCTTTTGTCATATTTGTGGAAATGTGGGAGTTTGTTCTTCCTGATCTGTGCTTACAACTTTGCCACATAAGCCTTCAACAGCTGATGAAGCATCCTGATAAATTTTGCATTGCACAGTAACATAAAACAGAATTGCAGTTTCTGTAGACTGAACTGTTTCAACAGTCTGTCTGGCAAAACTTTTCCTCACTGGTGCATGAGTATTACCCAAAACAAGAACTGAATCTAAACAGGAAGGAAAAGAACACCTCCCTTAGATGAGTAGATCATTAGTTTGATGAGTAATTGAACAAGCGAAGAGGTTTATGAGGAGTGCACTGTGCCCGTTCTGGGACTTCGTGTGTGCACATGTGGTGCAGCAGCGAACAACCATCAAACTGTGCTTAGTGGTTTCTTTTCCTTCATGCTGCTGTTTCAGCTGTTGCTTCATCCTCTGCCTGTGCCTTGTCTCCTGCTAATGACTCTGCAGACCCTCGGGCGAGACAGACCTCCAAGCAGCGAGAGGAGGAGCTGGAGCTGATAGAGCAGCTGCGCAGGGTGAGTGCTGCCAGGACGTGGACATCTCAGTGAATGTGCTGTGTGACCCTCTGAGACCTGCCTGTGCCTTTTGGACCAGTTTCACTGAACCAATATGGTGCACAGTTGACCAATATTAAATGGCATTGTAGAGCCTGAGGTTCTTTCAGATGGATGCAGTGGTGTTCACGTGGTTGGTTGTGGTAGATGAAGTCAGCTTCAAATTCTGTAAAATAAGCTGTGGTGACTCCTCCTACTGAGGGTCTGGTGAACTCTGCTTTGACAAAGAATGTGTGCTTCCTTTCTTCCTTATCAGCCTTCACACTTGTAAGGAACTCCCTGGGAAGTTGCCTCCCTGTCCCCTTTTAATTGCTTTTTAAAAGCTCCTCTCTACTGTAGAGCTCACGGAAAAGCAGATGGAGTGCAGAGACTGCTGCCAGTCATGCTGACAGCATGGTTTCCTCCTGGGCTCGGGATCTATTGATTCTTGCCTGATCCTTAGTTTAGTGCAAAATATCTGAGGCATAAATGTTTCTTCCTGGGTCGTGCTCAGGTACAATGACAGTGAACATGAATATGGCATTAAGGTACTGCTCTGCTTTGCCCCAGACTTGTTTCTGGAGGGCATGAAGGGATTCCTTGAGGTGCTCTAAGTAATTGATGGAATTTTCCCAATAAGTAAAAATTTACTTGTTGAAAAAGTAATCTTAAAATCCATAAGCATCCCAAATGAAGGGAATTTGTAAATGTTAAAGGAAGAACAATCTCCTTTCTATAAAAGGAGGAAGTTACCTTAAACAAAAGAAAAGTTTATGCTGTTTGCAACCTCTCTCTTCTGTTATCTCAGAGTGCTCTGTGTACAGTCTGTCTCTTGTTCTGCTTCCCAGCAGGCTTGAATCTCTTTTTAATACTTAAAAGTCCAGATACAGTATTACAACTCGGTGAAATTCACGCAGTGTTTTAAATAGGGCAGCCTGAATTGAATTTTTATTCATTCTAACTACCTCCCTTTGAAAGAACTATTTACGCCAAGTAGTTCAGTTTTTTATTAAAAGTCAAAAATATTGTCTTTTGTTAACTGTGTTGTCCTCCAACCCACAGAAACAATTATTTCCACTTCCATTGGCAGAACCATTCTCTGAGCATGTGTAAGGTTAGGAATAATGTTTCTAGATCCCAATTTCCATTATTTTTGAATACTGATTGTATTAGTCCACTGTGCTGTACAGTGAAAACTGTTCTTCGTTGAACCCAGTTGCTCCCAGACTGTGGTCAGCTCTGGGCCTTGGTGGCAGAGCTTTCCTTGAAAAAGGAGAGAGAAAACTGCTTGAAAGTGCCATGGGGATGGACAGAGTTGTAACACAGACACTCTGCCTTGTACAAACTGTTGTGCAGAGAGAATTGGCTGGAGGGACCCAGCACTTAGCTCCTGTGTGTCTGTTTGTTTTCCCCAGAACATAGAGTCTCGGTTGAAGGTGTCTTTGCCGAGTGACCTCGGAGCAGCTCTCACCGATGGTGTCGTTCTGTGCCACCTGGCGAACCACGTGCGGCCGCGCTCCGTGCCCAGCATCCACGTCCCCTCCCCTGCTGTGGTGAGTCTGCAGTAATGGCAGGGTTCATAGCTGTCCAAGGTAACAGCCAGCAGAGTCCTGTCATCCAGACTAATGCTGCATTCAGCATCTCCTCTGGGAATGTACATGGCAAAAAATAACCACCTGTGCTGTTTGAAAAGGGTCTGTGGTGTCACTGAGGGAAATTCTCTTGCGTTTGTTTCACTTAAATGAAGTTGCTTCTAACAGGTTGTAAGCAAATGTTAATGTTTTCAAGTCTTCTCTAAGCATGTTAACTGGAAAAACAAGTGAAATAAGAGATAGTTCAGCATGAAGACTGAAAGGGGATAATTGAGAAGTTCAGGAAAACAGATAGTAGGGAATTACAACATTTTCTGCAAGTAGGATCCCACTGCACAAGACACTGAAAACAGAGAGACCAAGTTGATTCCTGTGTCTACTTCAGAGCACTACAAATTCCTCTGCTTAGGAATTTTAGCAGAGCACACTCAAACTACTTGGAGAACAGCATCTCCTGGAACGAGACAAATCCAGTTGTACCTTTGTGATAACAGTGGCTGTGTCGGGGGACTCCTGGAGAAGCAAGAAGGGAAGCACACAGAGAAGCTGGAAAATTTCTGAAGTTGTTTCTCTTCTCTTGCCTGGCTGTAGTGTTGCTGGAAAGCACCAAGGAGGATTTGTTTCTGGGTGCATTGCTGTGCATCATGTAGGGA